GTTCAAAATCAAGTCCCAAATATAAGCTTAGTTATTTTTGTTTAAATCATAAATTCATCAGAAGTTCAAATTTGATCCAATCACCCAAATCTCTACTAGACCTTCCTCTCTCAATTGCCTTCTAAGTCTAGCTTTCTTGGGTGCAAAAAGAAGTATATTATCTTTAATGAATCTCACTTCTTCAAATACAAAAGAGTGGTACACCGTATTCAAATATTGTCTCTTCAAATACGGATGAGTAGATCATCATCTTTAGATCCTATCTCATCGAGTACAATTGAGTAGATCATCATCTAAATCTTAACTTCAATCAGACACATTTTATCGCCCTTTGAACTTTACTATATTCTTGATTTTCAGTGATAGACGAGGGACAAATGGGAACCAAATTTAGTTGGGCCCAATTCAAAATCAAGCCCGAAATAACAACCCAACTAACTATGTCCAAATCATAAATCCACCATGCGAAATATGACCCAATCACTTGAACCTTAGTCCTTCCTCTCTCAGTTAGCATCGGTAAGCTTTATCCCCTCCATCAAGAACTCTCATCTCATTTGAACCCTATATCTCCTATCTTTATCCCTAACGACCAACTAACCCCCATTCAAATATGAATCTCATTCTTATCTCAAAATTTGGCAACCACAACCTCTTCCTTTATTTAAACCTAATGAATAGCAAACGAAAGGAAGAGCCTTAGACCGAAACATACCAAAACCCTAATAAGAAGGGCCCAAACCTCTAAACCTTGAAATTCAACTATCTCATGAATCTTAAAATATCTTACAAAAAGAGTTGAAAGTAAAAACGCAAAGAAACAAGAGAAGGTGGGGGCTATTATTAGATCTTTTGGATTCGAGGTGTTTACGATGAAACTGGTCATAGAATCGTACTTAGGGTGTTAAGACGACTTAATTAGTGATATTTGATATCATTCGGTCAAACATAATCTAAAAATGATGATTTATAGGTACTCAATCGTATATAATTTAAAATAATCGATGATAATTTCAGTTTTTCAAAATACAAAAGATACTAAAAAAATATATTTTTGAACCTAAAAACGATTTAGATAATATTTGTTGCACTGAGTAGGCTTCTCCTTGTCCCATAAATGCTTATCTCCCTACTAAAGCCATCCCACGCGGCATTACTTAGAAGTATGCAGCAACATGCTATATTTATTGTTGATCTCAACCGCCACAAACGGTGATGATGGTAACTCCATGTCACTGATGGGTGGACAAGTTGAATTTATGTTTGATATACGGCACCAAACATCCAAATTTTGGGAATTGTACAATATATGGGTTTAATGTAGTTTCGTTTGTTTGGATTTATGTTGTTTAATTTAGAACATTAATTATATATACATATATAAAAGGGGTGTATTTTCACGGGTGTCATGTTTTCAAGTTTCAATGATCAACGTTGACTGCTTTTAGATCAAGTGAGGAGAAAAGCATAGATGCAAATAATAATGGTTAAAGTGCAGGTAGTAGATTGCAAACAATGAAGCCAAGTTTTAGTGGAAAAGCAGACAAAAAAGAGGTGAGTAGAGAAGGCAAGCAAATAGCAGAATCCCTCACTATCACTGCCACTGCTCGCCTAGGCCTTATCTCCAACATCACCTCCCTTCTATCATTGCCTACTCCTTCCTGGTTCCCACAAATCATGATTACCCTTTTAGAATCCATTGCTTTCCGCCAAATCTTTTACTGCCTTTCACCTTTCTCTATCTATTATTGCCGCCAATCCTACTGGTCATTTTTATCCGGTACATAATTTTATATTAAAAAAAGTAAACTTATAAAGTCATACTCCTTATGTCACTTATAATTTTATCTGTTATTAACTTTTTAAAAATTAGAATTTTAACTACGATTATTGTAAATATTTTAAATAATTAAATTTTATAATATATATATATATAGCTAAATGTGATTTGATTTGATTTTTTTTAAATATATATTTTTTATATTATTGTTATTAATAATATATTTTAAATAATAATAAGTCGAAGTTAATTTTTTTGACAAAATATATTAATAAGAAACAAAATTTAATAGTATTATGAAATAACATTTTAAAAAAATAAATTTATAAAATTTTAAACTTGTCAATATAAAATGTAAAAGAATATTTAATATATACAAAAATTTAAAATTTTCCCTAGACAAACCCTCACCCATCACTGCCCACATGTGGGTTTTCCCAAATGAAAATTTAATAGTGTAAAAGAAAAGAATCAAAACCTATTTATATTCTCGTGTAATGTGTGAACTAAGAACAAGTATCCTTTGGCTTTAAGCAATCAATTTTGTTCTGTACAAAGATTAAATTCTAGATTTTTAAGAATGTCTTTCTAACAAAATTTTTAAAATTATTTGAATACAGTACATGTCACTTAACGAAAAAATTTAACGTCTGTTACAAACTAGACACCAAAATAATAACATTGGTAATATTATACACTTAGATTAATAGAAAAAAGTTTAAACACATATTTAAGAAAAATAGTATAATTTAAACACATATTTTGTAATTAAGTCTTAATTAAACGAAAAGACAGAGACACTTCTAATTAACAAAAATTGATTTTTTTTTCTCGAAGTCCATAACGTCCATCTAGTTTTATCCTCACTAAGACAGAAACTTGGGTACGAAGGTTTGGACAACTTTTTATCTTAATGCTTTTCCATCACCCAATGATCAGAATATATATATATATATTTATATATACACATACGTACTTTTGTGAGGTCCATGTCTCTACAACTAATTTAAATAAACTCACCTCTCCTTGTTAGCTTTATATTCGACGGTTTGATGTCTCGTCCATGAAAACTTTTCTTCGAATGACCATGCATTTAACTTATATTTGGTAAGTGGCACAACCTATGCCATATTAATAGTTATAGTTAAAGGGAATGTTATTATTTCTTGAGATTTTAAATTTAAACGTATTATATCTAAGAATATAAATATGTATTATCAAATATTTAAGAATCTTTGAATAAATAATATATTATATTTACCCAATATTATAAAAAGAATTTATCAGTAGATTACTTAACCCTACCCATAATATAGTTATATATCCTTTTCCGACCACCTATATATTAATATCTGTACAAGTTTATGATAATAATATATATATATATATTAACGTAAAATTAAATTTACACAATTTCATGAGTTTTTTAAGATTGATATTATAATAATTTGATCATTAAATTTATTAATATAATTGTATTTGTTATATATGTAAATTTTCAAATTTATTTGATATCTTTATCAAATTAATACATTTAATAGTTGATTTTTTTTGCATAAATAAATTGTTAAATACTTTTAATTTATTTAAATTTTGGTATGAATTATCTACATAAATAGAATATGAAATTCAATGATTTGATTATTAATATATCAATCGTAACAAAATTTATAAAAATGTGAGCAAAACTTGCTTTTTTTAATAGAAAAACTTGTTTAATTTTGAATTAACGTAAATGGATCTCTAATATAGTTAATTTATATATTGTGGAATCTCCAAATTTTAGAGAATATCACGTGGTAAATAGTTGTATATGTTGCTGTAAAGATGATCTTATGATAATTTGAAAATAATACAAATTCAAGATGGCAAAAACATCATTTAAACACTATTTGATTTCCTTTTTGTTTTGAGTTGGGCGAAATTCATGTTAATGGGGTTGGGGGAAACCCCGCATAGCCTAGTGCCCAGCCACTTTTTTTTATTACCTAAACCACTTGGTGAAAAGATTCAAGATGATCAAATGGTATCACAATTTGATGTAATATATTCCCTTATAATCCTTGTATTGTCTAAAAGGATTTGGGATTATTTTATTTATGAATTTTAAATAATAAAAATATAATATCGATATCGAGAATAAAGTTATATATAGATATGAAAATTAGGTGAATTAGTTCCAAACTCAACATCAAATTTTAATGAATAGTTTGTAGGAAAGGAATTGAATCTGTGTATTTGTACTGTATGTATCGACATAAAACGTTTAACATTATGATCCACCCATTAATACCAAATGTAGTATGATTTGATATAGAGAGCCCCCCCCCCCCAACCTTTGCCATTTTAACCCATTATGGAGCATATTCTTTCTCTCCCCCTCCAAATATTGCGTGGAAGTGGTAGGCCATTTCCTCTTTTATTCTCAACAAATATTTCTAGCAGTGCAACTAGTAACGGTGCAGAATTTTTTTCGCCCATCATCACATTGATTGTTGAGCATTATTTTGAATGAATCCAATTACAGAAAAAATATGTCTAGGGTCCATTAATACAGCACTGAATTATAAACTTTGCCGGTAATTAAGACTATCTTACCAAAGTTGCGTTTGAAAACAGTGAGATTGTTACAGAGAACCTGAGTTAAGGTTAGCATGGGCTTTTCGGGCAAAGTATTAGAATCAGTACACTATCATGTTAGAGAAGAAACTAGGCATGGATTAGTGGGGGACATTTGGGTGGTCTGCGACTAGGTTTACACACAACCCAATCTCTATCTACTTGTATAGTTGTATTATTAATTCTTGTCTGCTTTCATTTATCTCACTAAACATAAAAAAAATGACACCCCCTTTATTGTAACTTTTCCCTCTCCGTGCATCATGTGCTGCTTTCTTAAGTTTGATTTAACCACAAAATTATTAATTGTGTGCTTCATAATCTAAAGTGCTTAAAGTGAAAATAGGAAGAAAAATTAATTCCAAAAAAGAGTCTCAAGTATATTTTCCTTTATGTGCTGTTGTGTACATCCCACTTTCCATGTGATTCCACGTATAAAATCCATTGTACGCACCGTGTTCTTGGCTCTGAATGGTTTACCTGTGAAGACAAAAGAGAGATGGGTCAGAATTTTTCATCATTTCACAACCGGATTCCACACCCCATTCATATGATTTTCCTTTGATTTATAATTTGTCCCATTTCCTCAATAATTCCCCTAATTAACCCTCCTCCCAGAAAAAACCTTCTTTTTAGCCTCCTCAACATCAACATTCTCTGCTACTTACCATTTACCAGCAATGGGACTCGATGACGTTGATCTCTTCCTCGGTCTAGGCAGAGGTTGCCTTGTTAAGCAAGAAAGCTTTTCGCCGTGGGGTCATCATCAACAAAAGAAGAAGAAATCGTTCCTCAAACATGACCAGTTTCTTCCATCTCTTTCGTTAGGTCCATCACATGGCATGCATCAATCTTTTGTGAACTTCGATGGCAGTGAAGTAGATGGTGAGTCAATTGATTTGCACCAACGTCAAGCCTATTCTCTCAGTCCCAGTGCGGTTTCTTCTTTTTCTAACTCGAGCGTTAAGAGGGAGAGAGATTTAGGCGGTGAAGAGGTGGGATTGGAGAGAGTTTCTTCGAGGGTCAGTGATGGAGATGAAGAAGGCAGTCCCAGGAAAAAACTTAGGCTTAGAAAAGAACAATCTGCCATTTTAGAGGAGAGCTTCAAAGAACACAGCACTCTAAACCCTGTAAGCTTCTGATAATCTTTACAAACTCATATTTTCATATGAGTTATGATATCTTGTTTGATAGCACTTCCATCTTATGTTGACAGAAACAAAAGCAAACTTTAGCAGAACAGCTAAATCTAAGGCCACGGCAAGTGGAAGTATGGTTCCAGAATAGGAGAGCCAGGTATGTGTGTGTGTTTTCTTTAATGAAATAAGGTTTCTTTTCTCCCATACTTTTTTCAATTTCTTTCTAATTTTTTTGCCTTGGTTCTTCATATAGGACAAAGCTGAAACAGACTGAAGTAGATTGTGAGTTACTGAAGAAATGTTGTGAAACACTAACAGAAGAGAACAAGAGGCTCCACAAAGAACTGCAAGAGCTTAAATCATTGAAGTTAACAGCATCATATTGCATGCAACTTCCAGCAGCCACCCTCACCATCTGCCCTTCTTGCGAAAAGGTCGACAATGGAAGTGAAGGCCCTTCGGCTTCGAGCACTTTTACAATTGGGCAGAAATCTCACTTCTACACTCACCCATCTGCAGCCTGTTAGACAGCTTGTTGAGGGACATAGAACATTGCTAGTTTTCTTCAAGGCTATATATCAAGTGTCAAATACAGTAATTAAAACCTTACTAGACTTTAATATCTACATATTTCTTTCATATCTTAAATATTTTCTAAATACTTAGCATAAACTGAGAAGTTTAGTGGAGTTATAATTATATCCATATTGTACGATGCATATAGGTCAATGGAGAAATCTTATCCTTTTTCACATTATTAATATGTACATTAATCAACTGAGTTAATTCGTGGTTTCTCAAACCTACAACTAGTTCAGCTTACGACTTCGTAATGGAACTTTTTTTTAGAGAGTCAGGCCGATAGTCGATTAATTAATTGTCTTTGCAATTGAAAGTTATAAATTCGTTTTAATTTGGTTTTTGATCCATTGTTTGGTTTTTAATAAGTTTTGTTTGTATTTTAGTTTTTTAATTTAATTCGATTAACAATTAAATAGTTGTACTGATCTGTTTGCTAATGGTTTCAGAATAATTGTGTGTTTTGGGATTTGATTTTGAGTGGATTTATTGTTTGTTTTTCGCTTTTCCTCACACACAGCACAGCTGCATTTTCATGACATGAGCTAAAACCCCGCTCCGTCCAAATTAAGTAGGAGTGAGAGACTATGCCCTCGTGTGGTTTTCACCTCCGCATGGGATAGTGGATTGCTCCTGGAGCTCACGCCTTATGGTCCTCGTGATGGTAATCACCTCCGCATGGACATAAGGAGGTGTGTTCCCTCGAAATTGAACTCGATCCCCTAAAGCCTGTGATGGGCCAGGATTAAGGGTTCGGTAGCCCAAGGGGTACTGACAATGACAATTCGAGAACCTATTACTTTAGAACCGAACCCAGCATATAGTGAACATAGAGCCTGAATTTAGGTCGAGCCTAACCTGAACCTTAAGAGTCCCGTGAGGAGGGTACACAAGGAAAAGCTTTTTGAGTCATTTAATTTTGTTTTTTGAATAAATGTATGCGAACTAGAAATCATGCGGGTAAGTTTATTTTTCTTGAACAAGCATGCGAATTAGATATCACGCGGTTAGGATTTTTTGTGAATGAAAAAGTATGGGGTAAATATCATGTTGGGTAGGATCAACTAAAGTATGATTGGTTAGCCAGCATGTGAGGGTAGGTTTTATTTGATGTTTATGGTACTTATTTTGTTGTTTATATTATGTACACTAACCCATTTTTGTTCTATGTCTATTTTATTTGGATTTTATTGCATTTACATCTTCATGAGCGAAAAACAAACAATAAAAACACTCAAAATCAAATCCCAAAACACACAATTATTCTGAAACCATTAGCAAACAGATCAGTACAACTATTTAATTGTTAATCGAATTAAATTAAAAAACTAAAATACAAACAAAACTTATTAAAAACCAAACAATGGATCAAAAACCAAATTAAAACGAATTTATAACTTTCAATTGCAAAGACAATTAATTAATCGACTATCGGCCTGACTCTCTAAAAAAAAGGTCCCCAGCAGAGTCGCCAAGCTGTCGAAACGATTTTTTCTTAAAGGTGAAAAAGGTGAGATTTTGAAAACCACATCAATTTTTGAATTATCTCTTTCAATTGATTTTTAATTTAAAAACAAATGTGATTTAAAAAACCTATCGTTTCGAAAAAAATTTGGATTTCCTTTACGATCGAAAATATACGGTTCAAAGAGTCGCCATCAATCTTTGATTAGGGTGTGATTGAGTACCCAAAAATGTTTGTTATTTTAAATAAAATTTAATTTTAATTAAAACAACAAATTAAGGTATGCGTTACCAAAATCCGAGTTCGGGAGTCGGTTACGTGCGGGGAAGGATTAGCACCCCAATAGCGCCCTAAATCGGTACCTAGTCGATTAATTAACGTCTTTGCAATGAACTTTACAAATTCAAACTTAATTTGACTTTTAATCCCATAAAACAACAAATATGAATTTTACAATATTCAAAAGCACTTAAATAAATTAAATTAAAATTACCAAGTCGTTTTAGAAAGATAAAGAATGTTCGATTATTTACAAATATCGAGACCAGATCTTAAAAGCTATAACAACCTTTTCTCGATAAATTTAAATAAACGAACATTTCCTTTTCTTTCGTTCCCAAATTTTAGGTGACGAATCAATTTTTTGGTTTCACTTTCGGGATACACTTTTAATTTAAAATAGTCAAAACGACCCTCTAATCAGTTAAGACAGGCCACTCGAGACAATTTTAAATTAAAAGGGTATTACCCTTAGTCCGATTATGTAATAGGTCGAGTTATGCACATGAAGCTATCATGCAAATTATGCAAAAAGTGGATGTCATGCCAAAATTAATTAAACAAAATTAAAAAATATCATACAACGTGACATACAAAAATTATATACATGCATTTTAAAATTAAAAATTATAAACCATGCATATTAACATATAATGTACAAATGTGACTCAAATACAAAAAACAAAAACATAACATGTCAAACTATAAATTTTAAAAACTATATATACATCTTAGAATAAGAACTAAATTTAAATATACATAAAATTAAACATACGAATTAAAAATCAAAATAGAGACTTAAATAAAAAAAACAAACATAAATAACAAGGGATCTACACCTAAATAACCTAACAAAATTACAACTAAATTAAAAATGAAAAAATAGCTAAATCAGGACAAACACAAAGGATTAAATTCAAAAGCAGTCCTAAAAGTGATTAAAACGCAAAAATAAACCTAACATATAAGGACCTAATAACAGATTTTCCTTAAACTTTCGATGGCTAAAAACTAATTTACCCAAAACATTTAATATAAAAGCTAAATTAAACTAAACCTAAGTAAATTGCACGCATGAAATTCCCTTTGCCGCTCTCTCACTATGCTTTCCACTCATCTTCTCCATGCAAAGCGTTGCTTCGCCCAAGCCACCATTACCGTCGTTTTAGTCCCGATTGAAAACACAAAGGACAATACCACTATTTCAACTATGGAAACCTTAAACCGCGACGTATAACTCACCAACAACCCAAAAAAACTATTAGATCATAAGAACACAATCCCTGAAATCCCAGACAAATAAAAACGAAAAGGATTCGCATGTTACCTCCAATCATCGAGGCTCTCTTTCTTCCGGTAAGGAAAGTGAATGGCTCTTTTAAAAGTGGGGTAAATCGTTTTGATTTATTCTTTATTTTTGAATAAAAAATCCTCTGTTTTTTTTTGTTCTTTAGTTGGTCGAATCGTTGGGTGCAAGGTTTGGCAAAAATGGTTTCTTTCTCTCTTCTGTTTCGAATGGCTATGGATATGGGTTGTTGATATATTTTTGCTCTGCTGATTCGAATGAAGGCTGATTTTTTTACTGATAATGGTTGCTGTGACGGATGAAGTTTTGGTGATGGAGGAAGCCCAAACAAACACCATAAACTCTAAAGTTTCAACCTCTTTACTGCTAACGAAGAACCCTAAATGACTAAGGTAATGTCTTTAAAATCCTTACCCTCACTTCTCATTTCATTATTCTTTATAAATAACATATCAGCAAAGAAAAAGAAATTAATACTGGAAATAACCATGAAATGGGAGTCGAAAAGAAATGAGAAAAAAAACCTCTTGTATTGCTTCTACTGTTTTTCTCGGAAATAAAGGCCGAATCCCTTTATTACACCGTTTGATCTTGTTGCTCTGTTGAATAAAAAAACAATTGAAGAACAAACTCTTTATTGCTTTTCTTACTTTTTCAAAAAACTGGTTTTTGTTTCCAATCTTCGTTTCTCTCCTGTGAAATCTTCTCTGGTTCCTTTTTTTTCTTTTCTGTCCTCCGCTCTCTCCAGTGGTTAATTGTAACTTAAGAACTGACTAATACCGTTTCCTCATTTCTCATGTATCCCTCGCCCCTTTTCATTTCTTAACTTCCCATAACTATTTTTTATTCTACAGTGAATCCACACGTGGACTGCTCTGATGGATTATTGTATTAGGCCTCCAACTGGTTTGGGTTCTTCTATTGGTCTAAATTTGTATCGTTTACTAGATATGAAGCCTCCGATAAAGTTCCCGGACGAAATCGAGCATCTACAACTGCCCCTATTTACTCATTGCCGTGTAACGAGAATAGAGCAAAGATCAATAGATGGTCAAATTTGTCCGGCAATGCGAACTTTAAAAGATCAAAGCACTCCATTGTTACTTTGGGATAACTGAAACTTGAAAAATCTTCAAATGACAGGTTTGTTCCCTCTTGTTCAGGGATTAAGGAACTCGAACAATCTTCTAAAAAATGGGTTCGCTCCCTATTGCTTCAAGGAGTAGAACTCGAACAATCTTCAACCAGCGGGTTCACTCCCTCTTGCTTCAGGGAGTAGAACTCGAACGATCTTCTGCTTACGGGTTCGCTCTCACTTGCTTCAAAGAGTAAAACTCGAACAATCTTCTGCCTACGAGTTCACTCCCTCTTGCTTCAGGGAGTATAACTCGAATAATCTTCTACCTACGGGTTCGCTCCCTCTTGCTTCAGGGAGTAGAACTTGAACAATCTTCTGCCTATAGGTTCGCTCCCTCTTGCTTCAGAGAATAGAACTCGAATAATCTTCTGGTTTGATTCTGCTTCATTATTCTTTCATGAAGGCTCAACTTCGAAGGTTAAACCTGAAAAACAAACATTGTCACTCATTAATGTATGCTTACAGATTTGAAAAACATTATACTCGAAAAATTTAAAATTTAAGAGAATCTTTGAGAATCCATTTCTCTTGCGGGATCTTGTCTCGCAACAGCTAGATATGAGAATCGTCTTGGACTCGACTACCATCTGAACATCTCTCTTTCTAAGACCTTGAATTGGTTAATGACTCCTCATGCGCATTTCCTTTTAATCAATTGATCTGCTTCTTTGTACTCGAAAACCTTCACTTTTCTCCCACATCTGATGATCTGATGTTTTCCTCCAACACTATTCCGAGAAGGCTTAAAATGGCCCGAAGGACTTATCAACTTGCTCGAAAGACTTACAAATGACCCGAAGGATTTTATCATCAT